TTTCCATCGTACTGCAAATGCACACAAGAGAAACAACAACATTGATCAACTAATGATTCGACAGGAAGTAGTCGAGGATCCAGACAGAATAGAGATTGAGATAACTGAATTCTACAAGGAGTTATACAAAGAACCTGAAGAGTGGAGACCAACGGTCAATTTCGAAAATAGCTCAAGAATTTCTGAATCAGAAAGGGAGTTTTTACAGAGTAACTTTGAGGAACAAGAAGTTTTGACCTGTCTGAAGATGTGTGCAAGTGACAAGGCCCCAGGTCCGGATGGATACACAATGGGTTTTTTCAGAAAGTGTTGGGACATTTTAAAGGAAGACATCATGGCGGCCTTCAACAACTTCTATTCTCAGGAGATGTTTGAGAAAGGCTTCAATGCAACATATATAGCTTTGATTCCAAAGAAGACAGGTGCGAAAGAATTGAGAGATTTCAGACCGATCAGTCTGATAGGGAGCTTCTACAAATTGCTCTCAAAAGTATTAACCGAAAGACTTAAGAGGGTGGTAGGTAAAATTGTCGATGCTCAACAAATGACTTTCATCAAAGGAAGACAAATAATAGATGCTGTGTTGATTGCCAACGAAGCTGTGGATTCAAGAATAAGAAAGAAGGAACCTGGAATCTTATGCAAATTAGATATTGAGAAGGCCTATGATCATGTAAATTGGAGCTTCCTACTCAGAATGTTAGAACTAATGGGTTTTGGGCAGAAATGGAATAGATGGATGAAATTTTGCATATCTACTGTAAAATTCTCCATTCTCATAAATGGATCTCCTAAAGGTTTTTTCCATTCACACAGAGGTCTAAGACAAGGTGATCCTTTATCTCCCTTTCTATTCATTATAGCCATGGAAGGATTGAACAACATGATCAAAACGGCTAAAGTCAGTGGATGGGTTAAAGGTTTTGAGGTAAACAGGAGTGGGGCAAAACAATCTAGAGATCACACATCTCCAATATGCTGCTGATACTCTAGTCTTCTGTGATGCCGAAAAGGACCAACTTAGATTCCTAAGAATCATTTTGGTCTTATTTGAGGGAGTCTCAGTATTACATATCAACTGGAGAAAGAGCAATATTTTTCCCATTAATTAATGAAGTTAACAACATGAAGCAACTGACACAGATATTGGGAGGAGAAGTTGGGTCCCTACCAATTGTTTACCTTGGGATGCCTCTTGGTGCAAGATCCAAATCAAAAGAAATATGGAATTCAGTCATAAAAAAGTGTGAGAAGAAGTTGTCAAGATGGAAATCACAATACCTATCTTTGGGGGGCAGGCTAGTTCTAATCAACTCAGTATTAGACTCACTCCCTACTTATATGATGTCTTTGTTCACAATTCCAGCAGGCATTTTACAGAGATTAGACAAACTCCGAAGATCATTCCTTTGGCAAGGTAATAAGGAGAAAAAGGTCTTCCATTTAGTTAAATGGAACACTCACAATGGATAAAAAACAAGGTGGTTTAGGAATAAGGAATTTGAAGAATCATAGCAAGGCTCTTAGAATGAAATGGTTATGGAAGTACTCTCAAGAACCCCAATCTTTATGGGGCAAAGTGATCAAAGCAAAGTATGGTGAGGAAAATAATTGGGTGTTAAAAAAAGTCAGAACATCATATGGAGTAAGTGTGGAAATCCATCAGAGAACTTTGGCCTATAATGAAGAATCACTCCTCCATAAGAGTGAACAACGGAAGGAACACATCATTCTGGAATGATAATTGGTTAGGAAACGGAAGCTTAAAGGAAAGATACCCCGATATGTTTGGTTTAGCACAAAACCAGCATAAGACAGTAGCTGATATGAGGAGTCATCAAGGATGGGAAATCGCTCTAAGAAGACAGTTGAATGACTGGGAGATAACAAGATTAGCTGACCTTTACAAAGAGCTGGAAGCATTTAAAGGATTACAGGAAGGTTTTGATTCACTTTGGTGGAAGAGGCACAACAGAGGGGTTTACCGAGTGAAGGATGCATATAAGATTTTGAATCATAATAATCAACAGGTGGACCCATGGCCTTGGAAACATATATGGAAAACAAAGATTCCATACAAGGTAGCTTGCTTCACTTGGCTACTAGCAAAGGAGGCGGTATTAACCCAGGATAATCTCATAAAAAGGGGAATTTCTCTGTGCTCAAGATGTTTTCTGTGCGGGGAAAATGCTGAAACTGTCACACATTTGTTTCTACATTGCAAGATTACAGACCAACTATGGAAAATCTTTATTAGTCTTAGGGGTATTTCATGGTCAATGCCATACAGGCTTAAAGATGTCCTTTATAGCTGGGAAGAAGCTGGAGCTGAAGCAACTAGTAGAGATAGATGGAGGACTGTCCCGGCTTGTATCTGGTAGACAGTTTGGAGGGAAAGGAACAATAGATGTTTTGAAGATAGAAGCAATCCAGTGCAGAAGATAAAACTCAATTGTATTCTTCTTTTTTGTTTTTGGTGCAAACACATTTACATAGAAGATATATTGACAATCATAGACATACTAGGATCTTGCTAGGTCTCGAATTAGAACATCTACTAATCCTCTCCATGTAAATCTGGTTTTCAGTGCAACCTATGTACTGATGTTTTTAATATATACAATAGTTACCAATTCAAAAAACAAAAAAGAAAGGGGCAGAAACTGTAAAAACTTTCAAGGATGTCTACATATATCACAAGAAGAAACTAAAAAGTACAAAGCTCCAAAAGTGAAATAGAGTCACTATGTAAAGACAAGATATGTTGAGGATGATCACTTAATTGTTTACCATACAAAACCTAGACAACAATGCAAAGATAATGCCTTTACCCGGCTCTAAGTACCTTGAAACGAGCATGAAGTGTTAACAATATATCATTCACTAACGGTGCTGGCCAAGCTGGGTCTGACAGTTCTGAAGCGATGATGGATTCCAATTCATCAAAAGACTCGTGAGGGCTTTGCATCCATATCAGTGCTTTTATTACCATTGCACGAACATAAACACATTCACATGCAACAGTTGTCCGCACCACCTCCATTAATGATGCCAATAAACTTGCAATTGTGTCCTTGGCACCAGTGGCATTAGATATCGAGGAAACTCGGCGTATGCCTAACCAAGGACAAGAAAATCAAAAAAAAGAGATGGAAGAATCAGGAGGAGTGACAATTCCGGATCCAACAAAGAGAACACAAAGACCATTGAAGAATTGAGGCCAGACTCCAATTATAATATGAGAGAAAACTGAGTTACTCCAACTAAATAAAGCCAACAAGTAAGCTATTCTTTACAGGACATAAAAGCAGCAGGTAATTCACAAAGAAAAATTACCTTAAGAGATGCAAAATCTATAAGTAAAAACGATGCGGGAAAAGACTGATATAATTAGTAATAGCATAAGAAAAATAATTCAACTTTTTTGAGAAAGGTAACAATATTACATATCTTTAGCACAAAGGCTGTGCTAAGAGCCATACTTACAGGTCATAGCAAGCAAAAGTATGTCCTTGTTCTTCTTGCAAAGACTATGATGTCTAACCACGGATCACATGACCTACAAATTCTTCTTTACACCAAAAGTAAAACAAGAGTAAACAATCCGTCTTGATTTATATATAGGGCTGCTAGATCCATCAAAACACCTTGTATTTCTCTCCCTCCACACAGTCCACCATATGATGGAATGGTTTTCCACCATTTGTTCTGTCTAACCAAACCTTGGAGCTGGTCCAGTATGCTCGTAACACCCTGTTTGTTTTAAGGATGGTCCATTGCAGTCCTTTCATGCTTCAGGAAAAGTTGCCAGAGTAGATCAGTTACTTCACAATGCGCAAAGAAAAAATAAAGATGACTATTGCTCTCTGCTTCCTTTCCACATACAGTGGCGGAGCCACCTTTGTCCAAGGAGTGTCAATTGACACCCTTTCGCCTGAAACTTACAATGTGTAGCTAGGTAAAATCTTTTTTTATGTATATATACTATATGTTAAATCCTCTTGACTTCTTCATGTGTTGTCTTCTTTATATTTTGCACTCCCTTAGTGAAAATCCTAGGTTCCGCCACTGTCCATAGGTAACATCTTGAGCAAAGCTGCAATCCCTCTCTTCAAATTCTCTTGAGTCAAATGAGCATCCTTGACAACTAGCCACACAACGTGATACATTAAATGGTATTTCAGCTTCTGAACAGATTTCCAATGCCAATTGTAAAACTGCTGTCCTGTAATACTACTTCATTTTGCTCATCCTATTTTAGTTACATGTGCTACATATTCATCTATCATGTCATTTCATGAAATTGTGAGCCCTGATATCTAAAATGTCTGTACTTAGGCACTGCAATCCGTCTAATCGCCTTAACTTCATTCTTCGTGTGTCCGCCAGTCGTGTATATACTATATCTTACCTTTACTTATCCTCAACCAGTCGTGTATATACTATATCTTACCTTTACTTATCCTCAACCCTTACTCTCTAGTCTAGACTAATTCTGCATAGTTCAAGCTTTTAGTTGACTCCCTCGCTGGTTTCATCCATTTAACACAATATCTTTTGCAAATAACACACCATGAACTCTATCCTGTATTATATTGGTTAGCTCATCCAGAACTACAGTAAGTAAGTATAAGGCTCAAGGCAAATAGCTAATGTGAACCCACGATTATGGGAAACTTCTTTATATCTCCTCTCACAGTCCACAAATTTTGTGATGGCTCCTATGTATATATCTTAGGTGCTCTCCAAAACTGGAAACTCTCTACATCTCATGCTTATTCTCTCTCTATGACCCAAAACTGCAAATTCCTTATATAGCCCATCTGTTACTCTATTTTAAGACCTTGAGAAAGATCATTTGCACCACATACAAGCAATTAATGAATTCTTCAACCGGTATGGCTTTTACAAACCATTCCATATCACAAAGAGAGAGAGAGAGGGGGGGGGGGGGAGGG